AAACTACGATTTTTATTTTACCACGTAAGGCCCACTTAGAAGCTACCTGGCCATCACAAACAATAGCTCGACATCATCGTCACGTGGAGATTTACAGCGGCCGAATACTCGGTGATGTTGATTCTAAATGTGGAGGGAAAGACCGGAGGACCCGGAGGAAAATCCACGCGACCACGGGGAGAGGGGGAGAGAGAGACACGCAAACTCCAAATATACAGCAGCAGGCGTCAGGGTCGGTGTCGAACCCACGACCTCCTGTACACCAGGCGAGGGAGTTAACATCATCCTAGCCACGGTGATGATGATGAGAGAGAGAGAGAGACACCGCAACTCCAAATATACAGCAGCAGGCGTCAGGGTCGGTATCGAACCCACGACCTCCTGTATACCAGCAGAGGGAGTTAACATCTCACCACGGAGAGAGAGAGACACGCAAACTCCAAATACACAGCAGGCGTCAGGGTCGGGATCGAACCCACGACATCCTGCACACCAGACGAGGGAGTTAACATCTCACCACGAAGAGATAGAGACACACAAACTCCAAATACAGCAGCAGGCGTCAGAGTCGGGATCGAACCCACGACCTCCTGTACACCAGGCGAGGCAGTTAACATCTCACCACGGAGAGAGAGAGACACACAAACTCCAAATACACAGCAGCAGGCGTCAGAGTCAGGATCGAACCCACGACCTCCTGCACACCAGGCGAGGTAGTTAACATCATCCTAGCCACTGTGATGATGATGAGAGAAACACGCAAACTCCAAATATACAGCAGCAGGCGTCAAGAGTCGGGATCGAACCCACGACCTCCTGCACACCAGGCGAGGTAGTCGACATCTCACCCGACCTGTCTCGCCACCCGTGCCGTGCGCCACTGTGGCGAATGTGATCACGTCGCGAGGGCGGTAAACATCTGCCTGACGTCGGCCTGACCTCCCACGGTCACAGCCCACCGCGGCGGCGGCGCTACCGTCCCGAGACCACGAGCAGGTGGTGGTTATTTTTGCCAGTGGGGTGTGTGTACAGAAGACGTACAGAAACACACACGGTATGTATATATATACAAAAGACAAAGATCCTCCGTATAGCCTGTAACAGACCGTTGGGGCAAGTGCTGTTAGCGAGCACCTATGAAGGGCTGGCACAGCAGACGAGGGGGTGGGTGGCCAGCGCCACGCCCGGCCGCCTTTGTCTCCCCAGTTACGAAGTTTACACACCGCACCAGGTACTCATTTGAGGCTGAGTCGACCTAGGAGAGGCCCAGTATCGGTTCAGATCATCGTCGCCGTCACCGATGTTGGCCGTGAGCGGGAATCGAACCCGGGTCGCCACGTTCGCAGCGCAGCGCGCTAACCGCTACACCACCGCTCCCCACAGTAGATACACACACACACACACCACACACAAAAGCAAAGATCCCCCGTATAGGCTCAACGGACTGTTGGAGGAAAGTGCTGTTAGCGAACACCCGTGAAGGGCCGGCACGGCACACGAGGGGGTATCTTGCTAACACAACGCCCAACCACCTTTGTCTCCCCAGTGGCGATGTTTAATGCACACCGCACCGGGTACTTATTTGCGGCTGAGTCGACCTAGGAGGTACGGGGTGGGCCGGGTTCACTGCGCAGCAAACTGACCACCGCACCACCACTCCCCACAGGCACAAAGACAAAGATCCCCCGTGCAGCCCTAGAAGTCTGTTTGGGTCAAGTGCTTTTAGCGAGCACCTATGATACGCACACTCGCCAACAGCACTTGACCCAACAGTCTATTTGAGGCTATAGGGGGCATCTTTGATACATTATTACCCCGTGTTTATACACGCTTCTGTGTGCCTCTATAGACCATACATTGTGAACACGATAGCTGACGTGCAACACCACGTGTGTGCGCGCGTGTGTGTGTGTGTGTAAAGCTGCCAAAAGATGCAGATTAAACAAATGATGCCTGCTTTTGGGGAAACTTCCGTATATGCTACAGCTGCCAACACGGCTAAACATGCGCGCTACACACGGACACACGCGTGACCCCCACACACAAAACAAAAGATAAAGACCCCACGTATAGCCTTAACAGACTGTTGGGGCAAGTGCTGTTGGCAAATCACCTACCAAGGCCGACACGCTGCTGTGCCTGGCCACCTTTGTCTCCCTACTGGTGACATTTACATATCACACAGGTACTTAGTTGAGGCCGAGTCGACCTAGGGGAGGCCCCGGACTGGTTAGGATAATCGTCACTGGTGGTGGCCGTGAGTGGGAATTGAACTTGGGTCGCCGGATACATTGCGTAGGGCGCTACCCGCTACACTACCGCTCCTCACTTCTAACACACACAAACAAAGATCCCCCGTATAGCCTTAACAGACTGTTGGGGCAAGTGCTGTTAGCGAGCACCTATGAAGGCCGGCACGGCAAATGAGGGGGTGGGTGGCCAGCACCACACCCGGCCGCCTTTCTCTCCCCACTGGTAATGTTTACACACACCAGGTACAGATTTTAAGCTGAGTCGACCTAGGGGACGCCCCGGACCGGTTAAGATAATCGCCACTGGTGGTGACCGTGAGCGGGAATCAAATTCGGGTCCCCGGATTCATTGCGCAGGGAGCTAATCACGACACTACTGCTCCCCACTTACCAACACACAAGTGTCGACTTGTGTAGTGACATAGAATCGGTCGCGTAGCAGCTGACAGGGAAGGGGACCTGCAGCTTGCAGCAGCCCTGACTGACAGCAGGTCACGTGATAGACCAGAGAGGGATGTAGGGGAACGTTTACGGAAGGGGCACACCGAGAACCCGCTGGTAGGTTCCAGAAGGGGGGCGTCGCCGGGGGCGGAGCCAGCCCACGCTGACGGTATAAGAGGGGCCCCGGGAGGGGAGCTCGGGGCTGTCGTTTGGAGTGGGATCCCCGTAGTTGCTGTTGAAGATCGTCGCCATCGTCGCTGTCGTCTTCACCTGACATTGCGCAGCTGGGCGGTAGATGGCCGTCTCGGTTCAGCGCCGTCAGTGTCGGACGGCCAGCGTTGGGCATAGGCTAGCAACTTACGTAGAGTCGCGTATGAACGAGAGAGAAGAGTGTGTACCAGCGTAGGGTGCGTCTTGTGCAAAGGGTGCTCAGTTAAATAAAAGAACCGCCTCCAAGAACTTGCGTCTCCCAAGTAAGCCACTACACATACATGCATCAACAACAACAACCGCCATTCGCCACTAAGTGGCGGTGACGTCACCACGACGCTTGTGCCAGGCCATGTGCATCAACACACACGCACGCACACACGTTACCGTACGCATGCACACACCTGCACAGACAACCACACACACGCACTGAATATAACACGTAACGTGACCACGCACACAGCCAGCGTGTGTTTTCTCGAGTGTGACCAGAATAAAATAACAAAATGACGGCATTCAAAGTTTGGAGGAATTCAAAACGAGGGTCCACTACACCTCTCACCAATTTGAAACACTCATGCACCCGCCGCTTTCTTGGCAACCACCAGTGGTGGTTTGCAAAGCAAAAAAAACAATAAAACCTCCACCAACCCCTTGCAGTCACCGAGATCAAGCGCCACGGATTTGCCTTTTAAGGGCCCAACGTTTAAACAGCCCACGTCGCGCTCGCTCTCTCTTCCCATCTCACAGCGGCTGCCCGTAGCCACGTGGCCACGCCGCGGCTGACGGGGCAGCCGAGTCGAGGTTACGGAAGGCAATCGGGGGGAGACAGGAAAATGGAACGGCGGAAGGAGGGAGAGAAGCAGGCAGCGGACGAGGAAGGGAGGAAGGAACGGGGAATGGAGAGGGAAAGGATGGAAAGTGGAACGGGGAATTGGGAGGATAAGGGGGTGAGGAGAGATGAGGAGAGAGAGGAGAGAGAGGAGGGAGAGGTCGCGCCAGGGCCTTGACACTGCTGCTGCTGCTGCATGGAGCAGCAGCAGCAGCGTCTGTGTGCATAGCGGGCGGGGGAGAGAGGAGAGTTCTAGATTAGAAGTTTTCGTGACTGCAAGGATTGATACTTTTTGTTTTTTTTCGGTAAAGTCACATAGGTAAAAAATAACATAAAATAAATGAAAACAGCTAAATTAAATCACGAAGTTTCGGGCGCAACACAAGCGTCCTTCTTCAGGTGGGGACAATGTAGCGAAAGCACAAACACTTAAGCACAAACACTTAAGCACACACGCTTAAGCGGTTGTGCTTTCGCTACGTTGTCAGCACCTGAAGAAGGACGCTTGTGTTGCGCCCGAAACGTCGTGATTTAATTTGTTTTCATTTTTTATTTTATTTTTTACCTACGTGACTTTACCGAAAAAAACAAAGAGTATGAAAGAGGAGAGGTTCACAGTGTGGGTGCCCAACACAGAAGTCATGTGATTTACGGCAGGCTTGAGCTAAGATGCATCTCTCTCTCTATATATATCGGTGGTGGTGGTGGTGGTGTTGAGACTGTCGCTGAATACATTTTGTCTTGTCACCAAGTGCCGACAGCAGGGACGGTCTCGAGCGTGGGCTCAACGTTTACTTTCCGGAAGAATCTCGACTTAAAGCTCTCGTGACTGCACAAATTCATTCTCTTTGGGTCTTTCGTTAAAGTGACGTAGGTCAAAATATACTCGCTGTATTTTTTCACCCGAAGACGATTGCTTGTGTTGCGATCAAAACGTCGTGATTTATTTAGATTATTTTCCCATCTACGTGACTTTACCGAAAGACCCAAAGAGTACTCTCTGGAAGCTTCACTCGGGGTAAAGGGGGTTGAGGGGGGGGGAGCGACATTCTGACCATGCCACACCACCATCTCAGCCACAACCCCTCCATAGGGGGGGTCGGGTGCACATCCCGGGGCAACTCACATGCTGTATGGGCCCCCCCCCCCGACGCCTTCAAAACTAAACCGGAAGTGTTACGTCGAAGCGGCACGGAGGGCCCCCTAAAGCGCGGGGCCCCGGGCAGGCGGCTCTGGTTTCGGGCCACGCCACGCCACCCACTCACCTCCACGCCTACTCGCTGCTCCCGGGGAGACGGTGGCGGCCAATCGCTGCGGAGCCACGCGAGGTCACATGACGCACGGGGTTCCAGGGTTGGGAGGCGCAGAAGAGGCGAGGGTCCTGCAACGGAGGGGAGGGGGTAATGGGGGGGGCATGGGGAGGGGGGCAGTTGTCATCACCAAGTCACCGTCTGTGTCGTCAACATCGCGATCGTTGGATTATAATAACAGCGAGCAAGTGCAGAATTGCGCGTACGCATGGGGCTACCAAACTCAAAGCTATAACCTAAACACATTTTGTTTCAGATTTTATTTTAACCAGGTAAGGCTCCACTGAGCCGTGTAAGAAGCGACGTGGCCATCGCAAGCGAGAGCTCAACACAGCGTGGACTTATCATGGCGTGGAAATTTACAGCTGCAGCCCGCAAGCTAAACCGGGAGCATTGCATCTGATGGCGTGATGTCAAAGCGCGGGGGGATCCCCCCCTCCCCCCGAAAGCGCGGGGCCCGGGGCAGTCACCCCAAATTTCCGTGTACCCCTCAGAGGGGCGGCTCTGACGGCGAGAGTTATCCTGACCTCTAACCCCTCCCCACAGCCCACCCCCCCACCAGTCCCAGTTACACCCAGTCAGTGCTAATGTACAAACACTCTCAATCTTCGATGGAAAGCGTTAAAAAAATAATAACGATGCAGTACCGTTATTTATAGCGGCAGAGTGCCATAAATTAATTACGCAAAAAAATTCGCGAAGAAATTAAACCTGTAAGGTTGCATGGAAATGTGTTTAACCCTGACATAGTGCGCGATGGGATTCTGTAAGTGTGAGATGATGTGAGAATGGTGTGAGATGAGATCTGGTGTGAGATGGTGTGAGATGAGATCTGGTAAGTGTGAGATGGTTGAGATGAGATATGGTGTGAGATGGTGTGAGATCTGGTGTGAAATGGTGTGTGATTAGATCTGGTGTGAGATGGTTGAGATGAGATCTGGTGTGAGATGGTTGAGATGAGTTCTGGTGTGAGATGGTGTGAGATGAGATCTGGTGTGAGATGGTTGAGATCTGGTGTGAGATGGTTGAGGTGAGATCTGGTGTGAGATGGTGTGAGGTGAGATGTGGTGTGAGATGGTGTGAGATGAGATCTGGTGTGAGATGGTGTGATGAGATGTGGTGTGAGATGGTGTGAGATGAGATCTGGTGTGAGATGGTGTGAGGTGAGATCTGGTGTGAGATGGTGTGATGAGATGTGGTGTGAGATGGTGTGAGATGAGATCTGGTGTGAGATGGTGTGAGGTGAGATCTGGTGTGAGATGGTGTGAAGTGAGATCTGGTGTGAGATGGTTGAGATGAGATCTGGTGTGAGATGGTGTGAGATCAGGTGTGCGATGATGTGAGATCAGATCTGGTAAGTGTGCGATGATGTCAGATCAGGTCTCGCATAATAGGGGGAGAACATACAAACTCCCTTCGCTCGCTCGCACTCCGCAGAACAAGGGAAGGACGTCAAACTCCGTGCAGGTATCGAACCCCTAACCCTCCGAACCGCGAGTCAAGATCGCGTTGACCACCGCGCCAACCTTCTACGCGGTAGGCGCCCGGTGAAACTGCGCAATAACCTCGGCAAAAAAGAAAATGAAACTCTGCAGGGTTGCGTAGGAAGGGGTTTTTTATCCCAGAGACGGACGGTCCGATCGGACCCAGCGAGCGCAACGCACACGCGCTTGCGTGCGTGCGCGTTCAACAGAGGCGACGGAGCGGCAACTTTGCTTTATCCTCCTGTTGCCTTTGGCCGGACGGTGGAGATAATCCTCACCATTGGTGCCGGGTGGAGGAGGAGGGGGCGGGGGGGGCTGCTGTCAGAATTCCACAGGACAATGCAGAGAGAGAGAGCGAGAGAGAAGAAGAATGTTGATTTGATGCAGTGGAGTATGGGACGGGGGGGAGGAGGGGGGGGGGGCGAGAGTCGGCCGTTCTTCTGCACGCGGCTTGGCCAGACAGCGAGGGCTCAAATGAAGAAATAGTGACCCCCCCCTCACCCCCAAAATTATAAATAATTCTGGGAGCGGTGGCCATGCCCGCCTCTCGGATATGTCGTTTTTGGGAGGCAGCAGAAAAATGGGGGGGGGGGGGGTAGTGGGTGGGGGGGGATTGGTGGGTGGGGGGATTGGTGGGTCGACTGAACGCTCTCCCGAGGTGGGGTCCGCGAACACAGCCGTCTGTCGTTGAGTTGTCCTTCCCCCGCGCCTCCCGATCAGCGCGGTTCAGCTACGCACGGCGGCGAAAGAAATTCAACTTGCGTACGAACGTAGGGGGGGGCCCGGGGGGCTGATTCCACTCAGTGTGGGGGCGACCAACGCCTTCAAACTAAACCGGGAGTAATACACCTGACACCGTGATGTTGAAACATGGGCCCCGCCCCACCCGCTCCCCCCCTTCCCCCCCAAAACGCGGGGCCCGGGGCAGTCGCCCCAATTCTAAACTCAACTTATTTTTCTATTTTACCAGGTAAGGCCCCACTGAGCTAAGTGGCTATTTTTCAGAAGCGACCTGGCCACCACAAATGAGAGCTCAACGTAAGTGAGCTTATTACCGTGTGGAAAATGTATCGCAGCAAAAGACTCTGAACGCGTGGTGACGTTGATTCTAAATGCAAAGGGGAAAAACCGGGGGACCCGCAGAAAAATCCACGCAACCATGGGGAGAGAGAGAGACACGCAAACTCCAAATTCACAGCAGGCGTCGGGGTCGGGATCGAAACCACGACCTCCTGTATACCAGGCGAGGTAGTTAACATCTCGCCACCCCTGGCATGCGTGTCGCGAGCTTTCCCCGGGTTCCTCTCCAATATCGTCCCCATGTGTAGCAAGACACCTCAGAAGACGCCAAAAGGCGTACTTGGCGTCATCTGGTCCAACACCAATGGAGACTAGGCTCTAAAGAAAGCTGTCTCGGGTGTGGACCAATCAACTTCAATGACAGTGCATATCATTATCATCATCAGAGTTGTTTCTTTTTGTTTGCATTTTAACTTCTTGTGTTGAGGTTATTGCAAACATGATGCCTTGTATAAAGGTGTCAGATTTTGCACCAGTTAAAAGGGTAAAAACCTATTACTAAAAGACAAACAGTTCACTGCTGTAGACCACCGGTGTGTTGAAGCGTGAATCCACAACATTTACAATTTTTTTGAGTAGTATCGGGCAATTCGTGAATTGCCCGATGATGCTGGATGCAATTACCAGCGAAACGTCGTACTCAAACGTCGTGGGTTTTACGCTCCCGGCACCGTGGCGTGCCGAGCTCGAAACGAATTGGGCACGTTCTGTTGACGTGGCAAGCCTCACTCAGCTGGCCGCGTGTTGGGTGGTGGCGGGTTTAACGGCACATTTATACGTACGAAGCTCTAACCGCCCTCCCCTCCAAAAAAAACATTTATTACGAAAAATAATGATGATATTGGTCGTGAAAGGCTACGTGTTCTCCCCTCCCCTCCACCGATTGGAAATCAAACGGCGGTGGAGCAAGAAGGACGAAGATCCACTCAGCATGGCACAGGCCACGTGGGGGGGGGGGGGGGGGGGGTGGTGGATTACGTTTAGATTTGAGAAACTCCCCCAAAACCTCGCTGGGACTGCGTTCGACGTCATGGCCAAGGAGGTGGCAGTACAGCAAGTGGGTTCGAGAGTGTACCCGTTTGTGTAGTTCCTTCCATGGCGGCGAGATGTTAACTACCTCGCCTGGTCTACAGGAGGTCGTAGGTTCCATCCCGGACCCTGACACCCACAGTGGCTAGGAGATGTTAACTACCTCGCCTGGTATACAGCAGATCGTGGGTTCGATCCTGACCCTGACGCCTGCTGTATATTTGAAGTTTGCGTGCCTCTCTCTCATCATCATCATGGTGGCTAGGAAATGTTAACTACCTCGCCTGGTATACAGGAGGTCGTGGGTTCCATCCCGGACCCTGAAACCTGCTGCATATTTGGAGTTTGCGTGTTTCTCTCTCTCTCATCATCACAGTGGCTAGGAGATGTTAACGACCTCGCCTGGTATACAGGATGTCATGGGTTCAATCGTGACCCTGACGCCTGCTGCATATTTGGAGTTTGCATGTCTCTCTCTCATCATCATCACAGTGGCTAGGAGATGTTAACTACCTCGCCTGGTATACAGGAGGTCGTGGGTTTCATCCCGGACCCTGACTCCTGCTGCATATTTGGAGTTTGCGTGTCTCTCTCTCCCCGTGCCGTTTCCCCCCCTCCACGTTCAGAATCGACGTCACGCGTCACAGAGCATTCGTCTGCCACTTTGTCGAGCTATCACTTGTGGCCAGGCCGCACACGCCCGGCACAACGGTACCATGCTGTCACGCGCGGTGCCGTGTCAGACGAAAGTTTGGCTGGCTGGCTGGCTGGACGGAGGGTCAAGTATCCCAACACATGGTCGGCTGGATTGTTGCATCGCGGGACTGTGAAGGATGGAAAATCCTTGGAGGGAGGCATTCATCATTTATCCACCGGCGGTTTGAACCGTGGCTACTGCAGACGACAACGATGACGTCTGGTATCATTATGCGAGTGCATTTTTAACCTTTACATCTGCTAATAACCCGACCGCCCCCCCCTCCCCCCCCAAGTCAATTTTATTTATGCACGCCGGGGATGATGAGTCGTTCGAGGGGCAGAAATAGTTGTAGTTGAAACTCGGGGCTTGCGTTTAAATTAGCAGCATTGTGCGATTATTATAGACCCCAACGGCAAAACCGTATCCCAGGATGCATAATACTCCGCATTTGCTTCATAAACCGTTCCAAAACCACAAATAATACTCCAAAGAACCACAGAGACCCGACACGTTGAATTTTTGTTGTTATAACATTCACGAATACATTCAGTCGTAATAATAACAACTTTAAAGCACTATTATGTAAATCTACGGCACTGTTGGATGAATGCCCTCCGCCCCCGCGCTGTGTTAAAGGTCACGGGATTTACGTGACCATACTTCACCACGCTGGTCAGTGCTCGTTGGTGAAGGTGGAAGGCACGGGGGGGGGGAGGGGTGGGCGTGTTGGTGGGGGTGCAGCTATCACGCTCGCCACTGACGTTTGCCGCGCGGCCAA